ACGTACTAGCCTAAACACTATTGATTGTAATTTTGCATATGTTCAGATTCACCTTGTATCTTCTGTGTTTCTTTTTCAGAGGCCATGGACAGGCTTTCTTTAGAGGTCCCAGCTTGTGAGTGTATTCATCATGAGTTTCAGAGGTTTACTGCCAATTTTGGGTCTTTGTTTTTTACCTTTTCTTTCCATGTGATTGCCTCCTGACTGAATCATCTACCAGGAAAGTTGTGTTTGACTAAATTAATTTGTGTTTAATTCTGATATTGTGCTTATATGTTTCATATGTTTTCACATATTTTGTATAATTAGTTTTATCTTAATTTCTAAAAGGTTGAAAAGACTACTAGTCAGTCAGTGGAGGCTGAACGGTCAAAGATCCAAAAATTTCTGCACAGACTCAGTCTGGTTCATGCGCAAGTGAGACCAGTGCAGTGCATATTTCAAACTATTGGACAATAACAATAGCAATACTGATCATTTCCTGCAGTTGCACTGAAATAAACCAAAACTTTCACCATTAAGGTGAGTTATGTAATGTTTTATAAATGTATTTGTGATGATACTGTTGCATATTTAGAATTTTTAATTAATTGTGAGTGAAACTATTATTCTCTCTCCTCATGTGAAGGTCTGATTCTGCATTTTCATCTATTTTAGGTGAAAATCATCTTTGAGATTAGGACAGAGATTAAACGACACACAAACAAATGTTCAGGTTGTCTAAATAAATGTATACACTGCCTTTCAAACGTTTTGGGAAATTAAGACTTCTATTCAGAATGAACACCTTAAATTGTAAGGACATTTATCAAACTACAAAAGATTGCTATTTCAAAGAAATACTGTTCCTTTAGACATTCTGTTCATCAAAGAATCCTGGAAAAAGAATCATGGTTTCCACAAAAATATTATGCAGCACACCTGTTTTCAGTATTGATAGCAGTAAGAAATGTTTCTTGAGCACCAAATCAGCACATTAGAATGATTCCTGCAGGATGATTTCTGTGACAATGAAGACTGAAATAATGACTTGTTTTAAAATGATATTTGAAAATATCAAAAAAAGTATAATATTTTGCAATATTACTTTTTTTGCTGTATTTTTGATCAAATAAATCCAGAGTAAAAGACTTATTTCAAAAGCATTCAAATCTTACTGACCCCAAACGTTTGAATGGTAGTGTAAATGATAATAATAATAAAATAAAAAAA